TCCCCTGTGGGGGGTGTCCTGTGCCTCCTGGGGAGAGGTGTCCCCTGTGGGGGGTGCCCTGTGTCTCCTGGGGAGAGGTGTCCCCTGTGGGGGGTGCCTCCTGGGGAGAGGTATCCCCTGTGGGGGGTGCCCTGTGACTCGTGGGGAGAGGTATCCCCTGTGGGGGGTGCCCTGTGACTCGTGGGGAGAGGTGTCCCCTGTGGGGGGTGCCCTGTGACTCGTGGGGAGAAGTGTCCTCTGTGGGGGGTGCCCTGTGACTCGTGGGGAGAGGTGTCCCCTGTGGGGGGTGCCCTGTGTCTCCTGGAGAGAGATGTCCCCTGTGGGGGGTGCCCTGTGACTCCTGGGGAGAGATGCACCCTGCGGGGGGTGTTGGGGCCCAGTCGTGTGCTTGGGGTCTCCTACATGTCCCTGCTGCTCCATTACTCACCAGCCAGGGGCACGCTCTAGCTGTGACTCTGTGGCCTGTCCCTGGACCCTCTCTGGGTACCTATGTTTGTATCCTCCATCTCTATACCCTTCTGGGAGACATTAATCAGAAATCCAAGAGAGAGGCCGGGCGCGGTGGCTCACACCTGTGATCCCAGCACTTTGGGAGGCCGAGGCAGGCAGATCACTTGAGGCCAGGAGTTCAGGTCCAGCCTGGCCAACGTGGGAAAAACATGTCCCTGCCAAAAATACAAAAATTAGCAGCCAGGCATGGCGGTGTATGCTGGTAATCCCAGCCACTCAGGTGGGTGAGGAATGAGAATTGCCTGAACCTGGGGGGCGAAGACTGCAGTGAGCTGAGATGGCATTCCTGCACTCTAGCCTGGGTGACAGCTGAGCGAGACCACCTCAAAAAACAAAGAAGTGCAAGAGAGAAGCTTCCTCGCTCACCTGGGACCCCCTCCTAGTGGAACAGCAGTGTCCAAGCAAGAGGGGCGAGGCTGGGTCTAAGCTGCTGCGAACAGCCAGGAGACGGGAAGTCTGAGGGTCACGGGCACTAAAACTCTCCTAGGAGAGCCTATTTACCCAACATTAACCATTAAAGTTACATTTTAAAAATGATTCCCTTTTCAATTATAAAACTCTATTCAAATTCACTGATGATTTAATGACACTAATTAGATTTTGCGTTCAAGAAATCTGTCTGACAAACACCATTGCCAAATGTCACTAACACGATGAAGGCCTATAAAGGGAGTTCAAATCATCCAAGCAAAGCCTCCTAATGTAATGAAACCACTGTGGAGTTCAAATGCCTTTTGCAATCTGTATTTTAATGACAAAATAAACGATTAAAACACAAAGAGAAATGCAACTCTGGGCTTCTTTCTGTGCTTTTGAGGCCCCGGCCCTGAGATGGGCTCTGAGCCACACTTCTGGGACCACCGGCCACCTCTCAGCGGGTCGGTCGCCACTGCTGCTGGGGCGGGGGGCAGACCCTCCCAGGGACCCCTCCAGGAATGAGGAGCATGGTATGAGGGCCCGGCCTGCAGGAGCGACACGAGGACTGGGGCAGGGGGCTCTCTTGTGAGCGACGAAGCCAGCTCCTGAGGCACCAGGGGAGGAGAGGCAGAGGCGTTCTGCGGGTGGGACTGGGACCCGCCCTGAGGTGGCAGCACTGACCCCAACTCAAGTGTCTTTTTATGTCTTCTGGCTTCCTAGACGACCCTGGGAGCCCCCGTCAAACACATGGCGCTTAGGGTTCACTGTTCAGCTTCTCATCTGCGTCTTCTTGTAAAAGCTACAGATTCAACCAGCACAGAATGAGACACCCACAATTCACTCTGCACCAATACCCAGGGCAGTTTTGGGGTGGTGTCCTAATCACGTGCTGTGAATGTTCCCGGTGGATCAACGGTGAGGACCGCAGGACTCAATGGGCACAGTGACAACAGGAAAAATGGAATTCAACAGGAGCTCCCGAGGCCATCCTCAGCCAGGCTCTGTGCTGGGCTGCAGAGTGAGCGAGCGGTCCTCACCACCCCAGGCAGGCGGGACCAGTAGCCAACGGGAGCTTCCGAGAAGTGCAGGGCAGTGCATGGGTCAAAAGATTGCTGTCGGGGAGTCCCCAGGCTTGACGTGGGGTTGCCAACGTGCAGAGTACAAAGGAGCTACAATACTCATTCTACAAAACTACCCCTAGGAGCCACAGAATGCGAGCCTACGGCACAAAAACTAAATAAAACGAGTGGCCACTTGATAGCATAAGATCGTGGTGACTTTTGATGACTACGAGGGCTGCTCTTGGCTGGTCACAGGAAGGCCGGTGAGCTGAAGCCCTGCGTGGGCTGCAGGGACTGCCTGCGGTGACTCCCAGTGACCCCTGCGGTGAGTCCCGGTGACCCACGCCTTCTGCCTGGCATGCACCTGTTTTCTGTATGCAGTTCGAAAACTCTTCTCCCAGGCTTGAAAAACAGAGGCCACATGCAGCTGCCCATGGTCAGGCGGTGAGGGAGGCAAGCCTGGCCTGGCCACAGCACACAGTGGCGCTGTCACTCAAGTGAAGTCTGTGTCCTCTCTCATGTCCCACATGCCAGGAGTGTCAGGATCATGGGGATCACGAGGGGCACTGGAGCCCCCCACTGCCCCACCCTAAACTGGAGTGCACTTGTTAAACTGGCAGGATTCCAGTGGAGGTTGGTGGGCCAGCCTCCACAGGGACAGGTGACGTGTTCGTGACACACCGCTGCTAGATGGCTTGAATTCTGAGGGCAAAAATGACAAAGCATGGGCTTCAAAAGCTCAGGAAAGGGTCCGTTCCTCAGTTTGTCAAATGTTGACGTTAGCAGGCCAGTGCACCCAGGAAAAAGCAGCAGCAGCAGTGGGACCTCCCAAGCCCACCAACGCCAAGGCACCAGTCAGACTCCAAAGGCTCAGGGCCTCCAGGCAGCCCCTCAGGGTCCAGGGAGAAATTTCCCAGCCCAAGTCTCTCAAGGCCAGAGGAGGATGAGGACAAAGCTCTCAAGGCTCACCTCTGAAGCACAGGCACTCACAGAATGGTTTGGCACCCACGAGAGGGGATTTGGAGCTGTCCCCGAGCCCGTCCACCAGGGCCAGCCCAGCTTTGGCACCCACGAGAGGGGACTTGGAGCTGTCCCCGAGCCCATCCTCCAGGGCCAGTCCAGCTGTGGGATGCAGCCTCCCCCGAAGTCGGGCACTAAGCCTACAGAAAATTGATACTACTTTCCCGCCATTTTTCAACAGTGATTATTAAATAAAGACATGGAACAAAGGGTCTTACATATACAAGGAGGGGAAACTGGGATCCCGTGGTCAAGAGAATTACCAGCTAGAGCAGAAACAGAGGGATGCACCCTAGCTACTCTGCACACTAACATTTGGGTGTGCGCTAAAGTCAGGCAGCCAACAACTCCTACCGGTGGACCACGTGAGCATCTCAGCAGCACGGTGTGGCATACGGTCACAGGCTTTTGATGCTGTACGTCTGTGCTGTCCAACAGTTGCCACGAACCACATGTGGCCTGGAACGCAGCTGGCCCAAATGGAGACATGCTCCACATGTCTAGGCCCCACTGGCTTGCCAAGACTCAGCATGAACAACAGCAGCAGTGTTGGTGGTGGCCTGCCACTTCCCACATCAGGCCACAAGAGACCCTGTGGCTTCCACGCTGGCCATGCTTCCTCTCAGATTGCTCCCTCTGTGAGGGGCCCTGTGGACGAGGACCTGAGGCCTCCTGCCTGTGGCCACGCAAGCCTGAATGGAGCTCCTCCCACCTCAGTCCAGCCAACCCTTCAGATCAGACCACAGCCCTGCCTGACATCTTAGTACAACACAGTGGAAAACCCCATCAGCTAAGCTGCTCTGGGATTCCTAACCCACAGCAAGATAATACAAGCTTGCCATTTTAAGCGGCTAAGTGTTGGGGTAATTTTGTTACACAGAAATAGACAATTTAATCTGGTTTTGTGGGATTTTTCATTTTGTTTAATGTGGCCACTAGAATATTTAAAATTACTGGTATAATTTCAATACACTCATGTATATTTCTATTAGACGGTGTTGCTGTATATGGTTCTAAATGCAGTGACAGCATATTATCATCACAGATATCATAACTAGTCTGCCAACTATATAATAGAACTTCACTACATATCACTAATACATATTTCCAATTTATTTAATTTTAAAATCTGGTATCAGATTAATATTTGTAGAGGATAAATACCAAAAAAAGTCTTTGTTTTCTTCTTATCACATTTAAATTGAAAGAAAATATTATCTGTTTATAATAATAACAGGTTAGCAGAGAAAATGGACGACACAGAAAAGTCCTAAGAAAAGAAAACGCAGGGTTTGCCAACACACCTCCCAGCAACGATCACTGAGATTCTGGTGCTTCCTCCTTCTGGGAGCTTTTGTGTTTCTGAGCATGTTTCAGATGAAGTCAGGTGATGCGCACTCTTCCTGTCTGGAATGTGCTTCCCACAACGCCTCCTCCACAACACACACAAGTGCTGCCCGCGGTCGTCCCCGCATTACCGTCCCCATGCAGGTGGCCTCCTGCAGGAGCCTCCAACATGCCTGGGGCCAGCACACTCTGCAGAGGCCGAGGCCTGGCGTCACCAGGAGTTGAGGGCGCCGGAGGCCTGGCCCACCCGCGTGCACGCCGCGCCACGCCCCCGCCTCACCTTGATGTGCTCATGGAGCTGCGCCTCGTGCTGGCGGGAGAGCTGCTCGTGCTGCCTCTGGAACTCGGCGATGAGGATCTGCCTCTGGATCTGCTGCTTCTGCTTGAGGGCCAGGAGCTCCTGCTGCAGCTGCTGCTCCCGCAAGGCAGGCTCCGCCACGGGCAGAGAGAACTGGTGGTCCAGGCGCAGGTCCATGGGCACTGCCGAGGGCGCCACTTGCAGAGGCAGCGCCGTGGCCACGTCCACTGTGGGAAGAACAAACAGGAGAGCCGGTCACTGCCGCCCTCAGCCGTCCCCGAGTCCCAGGGCCCCCACCCAACACGCTAGCCACCTTCACAGGGGGCCTGTGGAGATTTAAGGATCGGACACCCCTTCCCCTCTCCCCCAGCAGACTCAAAATGCAAGACTCAGTGGCCTCTGAGGCCCATTCCTCAAGGAAAAAAAAAAAAGACACAAAAGCCTGTGGAAGGTCAGGCCAGGACACACACTCCACAATCCCTGTTCCTTTCCGACCTGCCCCGGGAGGCCGGCTCTCAGAAGACCCCGCTACAGGCCCACAGGCCTTGCTGACATCATTTCTAGAAGTCAATCAAGAGGAAAATAAAGAAAAAGGTTCCGGCTGGCCAAGGAAAAGGGCGGGTGCCAGCCCTCAGACAGGAAGACGACCTGTTCTGCTCCTCTTCCTCCTCTTCTGACAAAGCCCCTGCGCAGCTGTTTGTGAACCAAGAACAGTGTGTGCCCAGAAGTGGTCCAGACAGACGCTTGAGACCCGGAGCCCGTTTCCATGGCGAGACAAGTGCCCCCTTGGAAAACATGTTTACCAGATGCAGCCAACGCGACGTGCTCCTGGCTCTTGGCACAAGTGCGTTCCTCTGGGCATGAGTTTCTGTACCTCGCAAAGAAATGGATTTTCTGCCCTGTCCTAATGTGCTATCAAAAAAAGGCTACGAGTCATTCTGATGAGGAACAGAAGCTGAATCAATTCCACTCCTTACAAATCAATACCAAATGAAAGTGAGAAAAGAAATGCAGGAAGGGGGTGGGTTTGAATCACAAATATCACAAAGAGTGCAATGTGCGCGCCCCTTTTACGGCAGGTCCCTACGCTGAAAGCACGCGGTGGGTGCGCGCACTCACTCCGAGCCAGCACTGCTCCTGGCGCAGCCCAGGGACATCCGAGTGTCACTTCTCAGACACGCGGCTCTTTGGAAAACTTCGCTGAGAGTCCAAGTGAGAGCCCACCTTGCCTGCTGCCCTCCCACAGGCTCACCCCTCAGAAAGCTCCCCACAACCAACACCCATGCGACCTGGGCCAAGCAGGGAGGTGGGGCCTTGCCCTCTAGGAGAGTCTCAGGCTCAGAGGGGTGTGTGAGCGCAGAAGACGGCTGCTAAGAAAACCAGCTCCTCGCCCCTCAGGGTCAGCACCTTTAGAAATGACCTTGTCTGGGTGCCCCTCTCTGAGCGCATCGCACCCACGTTCACCCTGGCACCCAGCCCACAGGGCCTTCCAGTCTCTGGTCTTGCCTAAGACCAGGCCTTGTCCGTCACTTAGTTCCTAGGAAAAACTGAACGTCACAGTCTCAAAGCCACCGATGTGGGTGAAACAGCCCACAGTGGCAACTGCCCTCTGTGCAAAGCACGGCTACGGTCACCACCCGGGCAGCGAGTCCCACACTGGCTTTGCCTCCAAACCACGGGAAACCTGGTCCCAGGACTCAGCCTTCTCCTGAGAAAATGGTGGGAAATGCTTTGGGGGAGGCCTGGGCACCAGCTCAGCTAGGGGTTCTGATCCCCGGACTGCCACTCAGCTGTGGAAGCCACAGTCACCTGAGCTCTTGGTGCTCAGGGTAAGGGGTGCTCTCAGGTTCTCTGACTGACATCACCATCTCCCCCCCCAACCCCGACCACCACCACACGCAGCTGGTCCTGCTCCTAACCTGCCCCTAGGTGCTGGCTGCCCTGGGCTGGACTCGCTTGAACCTGAGGAGTGCCCAGGCCTCAGGCCGTGAAGACCAGCTCAGGCCACTTTCCTGGACGGTGAGAGGACACCAAACGACCCAGAAGGCAACAGAAGCTTCTGAACAGATCTGAGCACATTCACAGTGCAGCACGGGCTGCCTTGTCGCTGCTGCTGTTTTTAAATGAAATCCTCCTCTCTGACTGCTTCTGTTTGGTTTCTTCCACCAAGTTAGTGAAGTGCAACTCCCAGCTTCTATAACGCATGTGCTTAGTTCTTAATTGGGTGTTGAGTTTGACACAGTAAAAGGTTTTCATTTGCTATTATGTGAGAAGAGTCTACACACATGAACCGTGTGTTCGATGTGCAAGACCAGGGAGCAGGGGTCCACGCACACCCCCACCCCACACATGGGTGAGGACTGGGCCCTATTCATTTCCTTTCTTCCCTTTTCTGATCATTTTTATAAGATATAGCAAAATGGAAAAACTGCGTAAGCAATGCTGGTTTTACGAAGCACCAGTGTTCACCGACATCTGCTTCAGACTTTGTTTTAAGGAATAAAATATACGAAGGGCAGGGAGGAGAGCTAAGTCAGCAAACTCGCAAGCTCAGAAAAAAAGAGAAGAGGGCCTGGCTTCTTGAAGGAGACTCAGCTGCGGACTCCCTGCTGCTGGCGCCAAGGGTTACGGGTCCAGCTCTCATAAGCACGGCGGTGCTCAACGCTTTCCTGAAAACACGGTCTCGTGAATGTCAGAATGTCAGTCAGGTTCTGTTCCCTCTTCCGCATTCACGGCTGTGACTGGCACACGGTTCTCCTGGAATCAGGGCCCTGCACAGTGACTTCCTAGAGCACCTCAGGTGAGCCGGGCTGTCCTTCCCAGGGAGAAACACAACTTTATTCTTCTAAGTTACACAAGTCGACATCCGCCAGTGGATCCGTCAGTGGATCCGCCAATGGATCCGCCAGTGAATCCATCAGTGAATCCATCAATGAATGCATATACTTATACAACTTAGAAGGGCAAAGTTGCATTTATCTCTAGGAGCGGACAAAGTTAGAAAAACAGAACACCGACCATGTTATTTAGAATGCTGGTGTCTAGATTTGTAGATGAAAACGGTCTCTCTCATATTCTTGCTGTTTGCTTAAGTAGAGACATTTTAGTGTAAAGAAATAAGCACAGAGAATAAGTACCTGCACAGCCTGGCATCTTGTAAGCTGGGTTATTTCCCATACATGGCCTCATCTGGCTCTGTGTGGGGGGCCAGGTGGGACCCCCGCTTATAAGATGTGCCAGTGTGACCCAAGGTCCCATGTAGAAACAGGGTCCTGCCCCAGGCGCTGGGCTTGAGCCTGACCCGCTGCTGGTTTTAGCGAATCCGTCTCCATTTCTAATTTCTCACAGATGGAGGGAGGGCGGCATCGCAAATGTCTGGTAATTGATCTCTTTAAAAACTGAACATAAAACAACTTTTAAGGGATCCTTTCTATTAACTTCAAAAGCATGACGAGTCCACATTTCTCCTTCTCATTCATTTCCTGAAGGAGCAAACGTGGCTCCTGCTCTGTGCCAGGGGCTGTGGGGACAGGCCCAGGGCAGCCGGTGAGACCCCAAGGAGCAGAGGAGCTTACGGCAGGCCGAGGGGAAAGGCCCACCGCAGGCTGCACCTCACTGAGGGCAGGGGGTGTCTAGGCAAGGGTCGAGAGGTCAGGGTACAGGTGGAGCGCCATGGGGATGGGCATGGGGGGGCGCAGAGAGCAGCCCTGCTTGCACCTGCAATCCTAGAGTGTCACTCAGGCTTGGGGCTGGGACAGCAGCAAGGGCGTGAGGGGAAGCAGCGGAAACTCTGGTGCCAGCCGGGACCCGGCTCCTCAGGACGAAGCAGGGAAGGCAGGCAGGCTCTGCACCCACCGTTTGCCGCCTGAGTAGAATTTTCTCTCTTCACACTTTTCTCAGATTCCTCTGAATCTGGAATCACAGGAAATCTTACAAGGAAACACAAGTTCATGTTGGGTCCAAAGCACATAACAGAGATGACACTGAGGTGATCTTGATGCAAATGCCACTGAAGCTATTTCATCAGGGTCAGAGGCAAAGCCCTGCGTACTGAAATTCCCATCACAACTCAGGTGCCGGGCCAGATCTGAGGGGGGGCTCAATGCTGATGTGGGCCAAAACTCCCACCACGGGAGTTTTCAGAAATGGAAAATGATCACAAGGTTCTTCACCTTGTGAGATGCAGGTGCTGGCCAGCATTCGCCACTGAGCACGGAGGAGATGCTCTCACTCGGATGCCGAGGACAGGCAGTGCCCCCTGAAGGTGAGAATTTCTCCCTGGATGAGCCTCATCTGGATAACCTACATTTTAGTGATGGGATGCGGGGGACTGCTTCCTATTTTTTAAAAAAATTTAAAACGCATCTTCCCATCCAGTCTACTCAAGCTACTAATGCTTTAATTCCTACACCATTCATTCATTCATTTTTTTTTTTTTTTTTTTGAGACAGTTTCACTCTTGTCGCCCAGGCTGGAGTGCAATGGTGTGATCTCAGCTCACCGCAACCTCCGCCTTCTGGGTTGAAACGATTCTCCTACCTCAGCCTCCTGAGTAGCTGAGATTACAGGTATGGGCCACCACATACAGCTAATTTTTTTTGTATTTTTAGTAGAGATGAGGTTTCTCCATGTTAGTCAGGCTGGTCTCAAACTCCCGACCTCACGTGATCCACCCGCCTCGGCCTCCCAAAGTGCTGGGATTACAGGCATGAGCCATCGCGCCCAGCCTCATTCTTTAATCTGTTCTTTAAGCTGTTTTCTTGGAGATTTGTATAAGTTCCGCAAACTGATTCAAATTTCATCTTAAAAGGAATTTGTCAAGTGGGCTGAGAGGCAATGAAAGCAGACATGGATCACGCTGGACGCCGCGCCGCTGCCAGGGAGTCCTCCTCTGAGGCTTGGAGGACGCTCCTGCCAACCCCCACCCTGCGGCACAGCTGAACCTCCTGTGCGTGTGTCACCTGGAAGGTCGCAGCTGGGCTCAGGCCTGCTCTTAAATTCTGCCATCTGTGAAACAGCCGCTGAGCAGCCTAGCACCACATTCCCCACTCCCAAAAGAGAGGGCCCTATGGGGGAAAAAAGTGCTGCCTGCATCCTCTGGATGTCGCTTACAGACTCCTCTTTCTGCTAAAGGCTTCCGTTCCGTGACAGCACAGAGAGAAGGATGCAGCCTTCAGCTGGGAAGCTGCTTCTTACTCCTCCAGGCCTTTACTGCGCCACCCTGGAG